CATAAGACAACTAACCTAGCAACATCAGACAACGAACATAGCAACATCAGACAACTAACCTAGCAACATCAGACAACTAACATAGAAGCTATAGGTAACTAACTTACCAACATCAGAAAACTAACATAGCAGCAGAATACAACTAACCTAACAACATCAGACAACTAACCTAGCAGCATCACACAACTAACCGAGCAACATCAGACAACTAACATAGCAGCAGAGGACAACTAACCTAGCAACATCAGACAATTAACATAGCAGCAGAAGACAACTAACCTAGCAGCAAAAGACAACTAACCGAGCAACATCAAAGCAGCAGAAGACAACTAACCTAACAACATCAGACAACTAACCTAGCAGCATCACACAACTAACCGAGCAACATCAGACAACTAACATAGCAGCAGAGGACAACTAACCTAGCAACATCAGACAATTAACATAGCAGCAGAAGACAACTAACCTAGCAGCAAAAGACAACTAACCGAACAACATCAAACAACTAACATAGCAGCTACAGGTAACTATCTTAGCAACATCAGACAACTAACATAGCAGCATAAGACAACTAACCTNAACTAACCTAGCAGCAGAAGACAACTAACCTAGCAGCAGAAGACAACTAACCTAGCAGAAGAAGACAACTAACATAGCAGCAGAAGACAACTAACCTAGCAGTAGAAGACAACAAACAAAGCAGCTGCAGGTAACTAACTTAGCAACATCAGAAAACTAACATAGCAGCAGAAGACAACTAACCTAGCAACATCAGACAACTAACCTAGCAGCATCACACAACTAACCGAGGAACATCAGACAACTAACATAGCAGCTACAGGTAACTATCTTAGCAACATCAGACAACTAACATAGCAGCATCAGACAACTAACCTAACAGCAAAAGACAACTAACCTAGATGCAAAAAGACAACTAAGCTAGAAACATCAGACAACCAACATATCAGCTACAGGTAACTAACCTAGCACCATCGGACAACTAACCTAGCAGCATATATGACTAACCTAGCAACATCATACACTAACCTAGCAGTATCAGACAGCTAACTTAGCAAAAAATAAACAAAACATATTACTTTAATCTATTNACAACTAACCTAGATGCAAAAAGACAACTAAGCTAGCAACATCAGACAACCAACATATCAGCTACAGGTAACTAACGTAGCACCATCAAACAACTAACCTAGCAGCAAATATAAATAACCTAGCAACATTATACACTAACCTTGCAGTATCAGACAGCTAAATCGAAAAAGTTATTACAAACAAAAACAACAGCAAAAATACTCACCAATTTAAGACGAGAATCTGCGAGAATAGACTACGAAGGATAAAACGGAAACAGATAGTAACGCCCGAGAAATCGAAATCGAAATCGAAAATGGAAGAGAATGGAACAGAAACAACGAGCAAGTGCGAAAATGGAGAGGGAAAGTAGAGTAGAGAGTTCTGAAGACGTACCGCCCGCGAAATCAGAAAAATATTGATTAATGTACTAAATTAATTCTGAACGTTAGATTAGATGAGTGATGAACGGACCAGATCAGGTCTCACGTCCTCACTTTTAAAAACGGGGCGCATCTGAACCATTCCCTATATATATATATATATATATATAGATGTTTTTAACTCTAATACAGACATCTCATGAAAACTAATGTAGTTATCATAATCATCACGCACCGCCTTAAATTAACAATGTATGTATTGGAACAGATGTCTTTGACAAGTTCATTGAAAAACAAAACAAATTCAGTGAAAATTTGGAGAATGATGCTAAGGGATTGCTAAGCTTATATGAAGCAGCCCACCTGAGAACACGTGGAGAAGAAATATTGGATGAGGCGGTGAGCTTCACGGTCCGTCATCTGAAGCGCATGGTACAACAGTTAGAGCCTGCACTCCAAGCCCGAGTGAAGAGGGCTCTAGAGCGACCCCTTCAAAGGGGCAACCCAAGAATGGAAGCTCGTCAGTATATTTCATCTTATGAGAAAGACGAGTCGAGGAACGAGCAGCTTCTTAAGCTTGCCAAAATAGATTTCAATTATGTGCAGAACATCTACAAGGAGGAATTGCATCAAGTCACCAGGTACTCAATAACTCATCAACAACTAAACTATATATTCTTCGATATAGTTCAATAATATTGTATAAGTGGTTTAAGTGTGCAAAATATTTCTTTTAAAGATGGTGGAGCGAATTGAACCCATGTCTGCCATACGCGAGAAACCGAGTGGTGGAGGCCTATCTCTGGGGAACTTCACTCCATTTCGAACCTCAGTATTCTTTTGTTAGGATGACATTCGCCAAATACGTTCAAATGCTTACGACTTTGGACGATACATATGACAATTATGCGTCGGTTGAAGAAGGCGATATTTTTACTGATGCTATGGAAAGGTGTGTCATCATGATGAATAACTTTTCTTTTCTTCTTTTATTTGGTGTCTTTGTGCAGTGATTCACGTGATGCGTTAATAGCAGCATAAGTAATATTGTTAATCATTTTTCTCAGATGGAACATTGATGAGATCGATCGGCTTCCGGATTATATGAAACCCCTCTACAGGTGTATTTTGAGAATGTTTGACGACTATGAAATTGATGCAGCCAAACAAGGGAAAATGTTTGCTGTTCCTTATGCCAAGCAAACTGTAAGAGAGGAAAAAAATGTGTCATTTTACAACTTTTCTAGCAATTAAATAATTAAAACTGAAGAAAAAGACAAAGGAAAGTGGTTCCAGCCGTTTTGAGTTGATAAATAGTCTGATTGAATATGAGAGTCGGAGGGGGAAGGGGTGCGACACAAATTGATAAATCAACACGCTTCTAGGAAATTCTAGTTTAATATGTTTGCTGAAATTTTGAATGTTGATAAATATTTCTTTTCAAATTCAATTTTCGTTGAGCCTATTCGACTCCATAAATTAATATGTCGATTTGACAATATGGAAAACCTTTTCTGACGATTCTGATGTTGTCTAGATGAAAGAGATATGTAGGACCCACAGCCAAGGGCTTAGGTACACCCTGGGAGCGCCAATGGGTTCATTCGAGGACTATGTTGTGAACACGGTAATCACGAGTGTCCTGTACGTGACATGTGCTGCTACTGTCCCAGGCTTGAAATCAGTGTCCGAGGAGACCATAGACTGGCTCAAGAGCCAGCCCAAAATGATTCGGGCTTCTGCTATGGTCTGTCGATACTTGGACGACTTGGGCAGCCATGAAGTAAGCACCAATAGTTGTAATTAATTAACTTCCTTAAAGGTTATTTTATTCTTTTTTTTTTTAATTTATTTTTGGGATTGGATGTACGTAGCGCGAGAGCCAGCAGGACACACTCCTGACGGGGTTGGATTTCTACGTTAGACATCATGGTGGGTCGATTCCAGAGGCTAGGGACAAGTTTGAGGAGCTAGCTGAGGATGAATGGAAGGATTTGAACGCCGAGTGGATAAGAGACGTTAAAAGTGGTGTTCCACGGGAAGTGGTGGACGAGGTTCTAGGCTATGCTCGGTCATCTGATGTCTTTTACAGGCATTGTAGGGATGGATATGCAAAACCTCATGAAGTTATGACGCCCGAAGTCGATGCTCTTTTCATCGACCCTATTGTCGTTTAAGAGAGCTATAGATGAGAAATCAGGCGAGACGTAAATGTTAATGTCGTTAAATAAAAGCCATTTGTCTCGCCTGTTTTGAATATTTATGGGTTTGAAGGCAACTATATCATTTCACTTTTGTATTTTTTTTCTTTTGTACGTGTGATGTTTTTGTTTCAGATTACTTGCGATGGTATGTGTGGTGTGTTTGATTTTTGACGTGCGAATCTAGTGCACGCGCAATGGAATTTCAAAATTTTCTTATCGACAACGAAGATCCGGCTATATCTATTCGATATGACCTAGGTTGTGTGAATCATAAATGTAAACATACAGTGTTCATAAGCTTTACCCCTGACTATGGTATCCACGCAATTTAGTTTCTCGGTGCACGATTCAATGCAGTGAATCAATTTTGGTGAAGAAGCTAGGAATACTCAATCAAGAAAGCTACAGAGTGTGTATATCTAGATCTTTTGATGTTACAACATGTATTATTATTTCATCGATCAAAGACTGTGAAGAGATAATGAGATATTTATAATTAGATCAAACTGAATTACATGGGCCGAAGATGATCCTATGGTCAATAGGTAATTGGATCTAATCTAATTATAATTTAATTAAGTGTAAATTCAGTTTAACTTTATTAAATATCTTTTATCAAACAAAAAATAATATCATTACTCATAAATAAGTATTCCAATCTAATCGAACATTTAACATTCTCGATTCACACTTTGTCGAAAAACTCATCTCATATTATTTGACCCTATAGGCCTTTATATATTGATATAAATCCAATTTATGATCCTTACGAAACTCCTAGGCTGCGTCGAAAGATAAACTCAAAATATAAAGTATGTTTACATGGACAAAAGAAACAAATCTTTAGTGTAGAATTCGATAGTTACACCGTCCCTTCATTCGGGAACCAATCGATTAAACATAAGGCTTAAACGTGTGTTTATTTAAACAGCTTAGTCATTTTATTTCATCTTACTGATTGACTTTAACTAAGTATATTTAAACACCGTTTCAAATATAATCACGTGCATTGGCGAATGACTATCAACTCGAGATAGATAAAACGAGTATTCTCTCGAAACTATATTCGAGGAATGAATCCTAATCTTGCGTAGCGCCCCATTTGTTCCGGAAGAAATTGAAAATTATTTATTTGGTATTTATTTTATTTTCTAAATTAATTATTTGGGCTCGATAATTTTATTTTGATTATGTGCTCGTAATTGCTAAATTGTATTAACTTTTTAGGACGAGCCGAATAGTATTATTTATTTTATTTTCGGTCGAACCGAAAAATATTAAATAAACGAGTCGTCGAACCAATCGGATAACTTAGCCGAAGACGCGAACCAGACCGCCCGAACCCGGCCCGCGGCCCGCGTGAGAGAAACCCGCCCCCCAACCCGCCGCTCACCTTTTTTTTTCATGCATGAGATATCCTTTTTGAATTTTTGAATTTTGAAGGAAAATTCTATCCCTCATTTGTTGCCAACTGATCCCCCCCTTCATGCTCTTTCCATAATTTTTGTTGGGGAGTTACAAATCTTGAGATTAAGTTAAAGGAAGGTTGACCACCCCCCCTCACTCTCATCCCAACTTCACGCCATCTCCCTATATCTCTCCATATCTCAATCTCGGTCCTCCCTCTCTCCCTTATTTTTCTTTTCCGTCATTTTTCCTTCTCGCCGGAAAAAGCTCCAAGCTGCCATCTCATCACCGAGAAACCCCGCATCACCTCGCGAGAGCTGCCGGAAAGCTGCCACTCTCCGCGCTCCTCCACCCGCTCACAGCAGCCGCCGCCATGAGCCCCTCGCCATCAGCCTCCATGTGACAGCGACAGCGACTCCCGGCCACCGACAGCAACTCCCGACCACCGTTACGTTCCCGTCCCGCGAGCTCGAGCCCTCTTTCGTCATCACCCCCGTCGAGCCGATTGCCTCTCGTCTTTTCGTTCCATTTCCGAACACTTTCCCGAGATCGGTAACGAGTCTCGATCACTCGTTATGTTATTTGCGTGTTATTTCGTGATTTTATGTTCGGTGAATTTTATGTTCGGTGATCCTATATGTTCGATTCTAATAATTTGCCGTTTAATAATTATCGAATATCGTTAGATGTTTCGAAATCCTCTCTATGTTCATTGTTTGCTGCTGTAAATATGATATTCCGTGTTGTCGAGGCTTTTTGTGAACCGAGCTTGAAATTCGAACATCCAAAATGAATATGATTGTCATTTTATGTGAAGTCAAGTTTTCACTGTTCTGTTGTGGTGCGGTTTGAGCCATGTCAGACTGAGTATTTGAAATTGTAACCATCATGAAATATGTAGTATATTGAGTTTGCTATATCTGGGCTTTAGAATTTCTCAATTCCGATCTATATCGAAAACGTTATGATTTTTACAAGATTTGTTGTACTTCCAGTTTTTCCGTACCCGGCAGCATAATTGGATTTAATGTTTGGTCTGTTATTCATGTCAAAATGTGCTCGTATGAACTTATACTCTTCATGAAAGTTATAGATCAGTCTTTTAACTTTCAAATGAGATAAATTGCATGTTGATATGTGCTCTGTGGCTCGAGTTATGATTTTATGAAGTTAGATATGCATGAGTTAGGAATCATCATGTTGGCAGAAATATGGAACTTCATGTTAGCCGATTTTTGAACATTCAAATGAGCTCATATGTTTGTGTACTAAATGAAAATTGTAGAGGCATGTTTAAAGTTTAATTTGAGACTTGAACCATATCATTTGGAGGTCTGTAGCTCAAGATAGAGGTTAAAAACTGTGGTGCTGTCCATGTTTATTATACTTGTTTTGACAGATTTACTAAATCACATGTTTTATGTTTAAACTCGTGGTTAATGTGATTATTTGCCAATATGATCTTCAGAAACGTTGTAGACATTTGAGTTATCTATCATGTGGTCTTTTAAATTCATTAAAATCATGCTTGTAGCTCTAGTTATGTAGAAATTACTGAAGTCTGGTCAAGTGTATTTTTCCAGTTTTGGACTGTGACTCAAATTTTGATGTTTGTTGAATTATTACCTGCTAAATGACCTTATTTGCTTTCAGTGTCTTCATAATAATTTTAGATTCATCTCTTAGGATTTTAATGCAATTTGATTTGTGTTCATACGAGTTGTGTGCTGAAAGTTATGTTGATTTTAAAAACGCTGCCCGGGTTAACTTTTCAAAGCTTATGTGATATTTTCTGAAATGTATCTTCTTTGGTTTAATGCATGCTTGAATGCTTACGTGGACTTAGTTGAACTAAGTAAATTGTCGAATAATCTTTGATAAGGCTATTTTAATAAATGTAGGTGTTTGACGAGTCGACCACGCCGACTACCATTTAATTTGTGTTTAACTCGATCGCTACCAGGTGAGTTCATTTATGTTGAATCTACATTTATCGCACCCGTTATTTCGTATAAATGTTTGTCGCAATAGTTTTTGTATGCGTGAGGACCCTAGTCTGAGTGTCCCGACGGTAGTGCCTTTGACGAATGTATAATCAGTGGAAGTCACCTGCCCGTTGCATCAGGTAGGTGGGAGCCCGAATCCGTGTAGACCGAAGGGGATTGTCTGAACGCCCGAATCCGCGTAGAGCGGAGGGGTAATTCAACTTCACTGTCTCCTGGATAATATCCTATGCCCGTTGCATTCGGGGTGGGAGTGCTTCCAGTTACATCCTTGCCGATGTCTGGTCGGAAGGTTTATTGTATGTACATAGGAGGTTTTCGATAGGGCCTAATAGGGAGTTAGATCTGGATTCTATGCATACATTATTTATCCTTATGGATCTTTATGCGAAATAGACTGTGCGGTAATGGTGAGTATGATGGTTTTTGTAATGCCCCGTTCGTTTATTAGAATTTTCTCAATATTATAATATTATTATTTGTATTAATTTTTTACATTGTATTACTGCTCGATATTTTCTGTTAGCCTTATTATTTTAATTGGATGGTCTCGTCTGATTGATTTAATAAGCCGCGTTATTTTATTGTTGTCCATCGCCAACTGTTCAATCGTATCGATCGGTAGTCCTTGTTATTGCGTTATTCTATCGGCCCAATTTATTGGAAATATTTTTGGTCCTTTCGGATAATTTTATTTCGGCTCAAGTCGAATTATTTTCGACCTTTATGTGCTATTAAAATCCGAACATTGAGTTTATTCATTTGGCCCAAATGAGTTCCAATCTCAGTCCATTTGAATTATTTTATTCACGGCCATTTTATTTTATTTTGCCCTTAAGTGTTTAAATTTGATTAACCATTTTCGGCCCAAAAATTAATTCCTTGGCCCATTATGTGAATAAGCCTCAGCCCACTTTGGAAAATTTCTCCTTTCTTCGACGACCGAAACTCCTCCTCCAACATATCGGATCTGTTGCGATTCTTGGGTGAGAAATCTCTCCCACGTTCATCATTTTCTCCTACTTAGACTCGGCCAGGAGTTCAATCCGGATCAGAATCGATCGGGAAGTAAAATCCTAAATCTCATCTCCTTCATTTCTCTGTCGTCCCAAATCAGATCGGAATGAGAAAACCAAATCCTCTCCCAAATCTCATCACTCTCAGCGTCTTGCCATCGTCAAATCGCCCTCGCCGCCGAACTAGTGAACGACCGGCGAGCCCACCGATTGACGTTCAGAGCTTCGATCGGTGACCTCAGTTTCACAGCAACTGCGTTATCCAACCTCGAACAGCGAGCCGCGACCTCCGACGAGGGCTGCAACCTTCGCGAGTATCAACATCCACGAGCAGGCCATCGACGTCCATTCTCCACCGTTATCGCAGTCGCGAGTTCCACGTCTGTCGACCGACTGCCTCCTATCCCTGTCGATGACAATAGCAGCGATCTTCTGGCGAGACGAATTCGTTCGCAGCTGGAATCAAATCGCCGTCGCAATCGCACGTGGTTGAGAGATTCCCGGTGATGCTGAGCAATGATTTTAGGTGACGAGGACCAGCCTTTTCACGACCAGCCCGGCGAGTCGACCTCTAATCGGCCGGCGATTAGGGCTCCTCAAACTTAAAGCCGCGCCGACCACCTTCCAACGAGCTTCACCACCATCCAGTAACCATCATCCAGCCACGTCGAGTTTCCGGCGGACTCGACCAGCGTCCGATGAACCAGGCCTCCGGTGATTTCGGGCATCGATTTCTGTCGGGCCGCTCCTGCTCGCGAGCCCTGACCACCGACCGACGATTTCGAGCTCTCGACGACCGAGTCCACCCCGAGCTTTTCCGGCAATGAGCAGTAGCCGCTCGAGGCTCTTATCGAGTAGCCGTCGGTTTTATTTTCGAGCAATAGCAGTCCCGATCGTGTTATAAAACGAGCAAGGGGGACTTTTTGGACGAACAAAAGCCCTTTCGGGCCTCGGACAAGGAGAGAAGCGGGTAGATCCTTTGTCGAGCGCCTCCTTTGCGACCTTGTTTCTAAATCCCGAGAATAGGTAATTTGGCTAAGACCCTGTTACCTTAAAATTGGCTGAATTTATGTGTTTAGTAT